GCCAAACGTAAAAATTGACTGCTCATTTTTCATTCCACGTACATGCGACACCAAAAAAAATGGAGTCAAGTGGGTTAACCCTGCAGTTCCTACACAAAGCCGTCATCAGTTCATAGAGGATTAAGTTCGGCTCAAGTTAAATCATCTGAGAACAGAGAAATTAAATGTATCGAGTCAGTCAAACAGGCCCATACAATTAGACCATAGACATTCTTTCCCTGCCCTACAGGTAGTTACCGACCATGTGGCAACGTTGTCCCACATTTACGCGGCATCTCTGCAGCGAGTTTTCCTCCACTTCGTACACCCCAAACCCCCAAATTCCAACCCCTACATTTTTTTTCAAAATGATCAGGACTTTTTAAGAATTCTTTAAAACGTCGCGAAGTTTGGATACTGCACTGGAAAACCCATTATTTCTTTCGTACAGGAAGCATATTTCAAGACAGCTCTTCTGCATCTGCATTATACAAAAGAGATGTTGGAATGAATAACATTCTCTTCAAATTTTTTTTTCAATAATGATTACGTTTCCCATTTTTGGTTCATTTGGTAATCAAATGTTTCGTTTGAAATGAAATACGCTGAATGCAAGGGCATGTTGGGAAATTTTGTGTGCAGTTTCGTTAGTTTGAACAGACTCAAATGACGATGTAACAATATCAATCTCCGAACTCTTGAACAATATGAAAGAATCTATTTTGAACATTGTGTAGAATTCTTCGACTTGGGAACAATACTTTTAAACAAGGCCGCTCTAGTTGCTTGCAATTTTTTGGACATTAATTATTTTGTATAAAACAATTATTTGAGTCAAATGATTGTTGAACATGAGTTAAAGCTCTTAAAGCATCGATCCTTGTTGACACTGTTTTTTTTTATATCGAAGCAGCCGCGCAGCCAGAAGCCTAAATGCCGGAACACCGCGGCTGTTATGATGATCCCAAAGAAATTTTGTTTATTCGATTTTTGAACTGCCTAAGGTTAGTAGAACTGGGAAAAGCTTCCCCTTGTAGACTTTTCCACAATCTCGACACCCTCGGGACAAAAGAGCGGTCGTATCGGCCAGTTCTGGATGTACGAAGTTCGACACGGTTAGAATGGGACGCCAAAGTTCGTGCCAGATCAGGTCCTCGGTGATCTGGACACCGACCAGCCGAAATGAATGGCTCTTTGGCAGAACTCGGCCAGAGAGGAAGTCGTCGCTAGTCTTCTTTTTTCCAGCCCTGCGGAAGCGATCGGCTTGTCACTCTGAATGCCTGCATGTAGAGTGCTGTCATCAGCGAAGCTGTGGATTTTGTTGATGGTGCAGGGAAGGAGGTCGTTGACATGCAAGAGAAACAGTGTTGGTTCTGGTTTCGACTATCATTTGTATACTCTACCGAACTAAAAGCACTTCTCAGTCGCCCTAATTTGAAACCATGCCTCCTCCGGCACTGCGGGTTCGTAAAAGTATTTTTGAGAAGACTCGCCATACTATAATAGCCGGCTACATACATTAAAATTTCTAAATACAGACCTGTTCGGGACTTTTTCTCAGGGCAGGTCAGTATCTAGGTTCCGCGAAAGGATTATTTACTAAGACTGAAACTCTTCTACCACACAAATGGTTGATATACGGATATTATTCGAAATTTAAGATTTTTTATAACTGTCTCCGTCGCAATTTATCGGATACTCAAAAAATAATGATAATAATAAAAATATTTCTTGTCTAGAGTTTACTGCCGTCTAGAATCAATAAGTAACATTTGTTTCGGTGACATTGCGGAAACGTTTCTGGAACCGTTAATATCCTATTCTGTCATGCTGAGCACCAAGGGGGCTTCTGCAGCTATCAAACAACCCTAAAAAAATGCATCCAAAGTTTGAACCTCTATTCCATTTGTGCAAATAGTCAAAATTGTAGAATTTTAAGAAAACAATTTTCTGTGTTACGACCGAAAAACTTTTCCAATAAGTAGAGAATATAACACCGATTTACTAGGCATCAACAACCAAATTGTGTTTAGCAAGTGAGAACTTCAGATATTAGATGTATTCTCTGTTTTGGCAAGCTGCTTCTTATGAAAATCGATGCTGTGATGGAGATATGAGAAAAAACAAACTTAATATCCCAGGTTTGTCTGGCCAATGAAGTACTTCAGTACTACAAGGGTATTACATAACCTGAAAAGTTACAATATGTCAGTTTTTGACATATAGGTCTTTATGCCATTATGTAGGATTTCCAACAAGACGCACACTAGCCTTCATAGTCAACAAGTTGACATTTTATCGTTTTTTAACATTATACACTGAGAACCGAATTTGTCTGAAGGCTTGAATTCAATGTGTAATTAGGTTTGACAGTAACACCCTCTCCGTCACCGTCGCTAGGCAATGTGGTGATGACGTTCGCTCTTCAGCCGGCTTCTATCTCTTTCTAACATGTATTGATACTCTCTGTTCGCGCTTCTCTCTCGCACACATTGGACTCAAGCCGTCAGACATTTTTTTTACGTAATAACGCTATCGAAGAAGGTCACCATTGTGACCGATACTTTTTCTACTTTAAAAAGAATTTCAAATATATGTGGTTTCACTGGCCAGAAAAAGATGAGAGATTATCGTCATAAACACCACACAGGATAAGTTTCAGGTGCTATAAAAACCGTCTTTATTCATTTTGTGCGCTTTCTAAATGGCATTGGGCATTGTTAAAACGGTAAGACTATACTCTAGCGCATGTCGCAAATACTTCATTTCTTACTTTAAAATGAAGGATTATGATGTAACTTTTACGAAAATATCATTTTTTTTCTTTTAGGAACCCTCTGCTTGCTATTTTATACAACTTCGAAATTGCATTTTGGTGGTAATAGTCTAGAATGCTGTCTTTTTTTGTTTTTTGTACAAAAGGATGCTCTAAATTATAAGAATATAACATACACTGTATAGTATTAAGGAAAATAGATGAGAAACTGAAAAAAATCGTTGTTTTTTGCAAAAAAGGTTCAAAACCAGACATTAGCTTATTAATTTAAATAGCAGATCAAAATACATACGTAAATGATGCTATTTACTTGGTAAACTGTGTAGAGGTGTTGTGTTGCAAGTTTTCAACGTCTTCTTAAAATTCCTTAACCATTTTTTTCGCGTATTTTCAATGAGATCAAAGTTTTTGCGTTTATAAGAAATTTTTGAAAGTACAAAACAATTCTCATTGGCCATTTTATAACGCTCTTTTCTTGACAGATAAATAAGTGGTGTCCATTGTTGCCAAGTTGTACCTTTTTAGGGAGAAATAAATAATTATAAATGAGGTTATTTGCAAAATAAAAGTCTTAGTTTATTGTAAATGGCTTGTTTTATGAATAGTTGTCCCAATATATACCGAAAACTAGATGAAATTTTTAACAGTATGTGTCTAAACAGTGGAAAATGCACCAGCGACAGCGGTTCGCGTGGCAAAAAATACAAGAGGCGCCAGCGGTCATTGCATATAAAAAACCCAACTTCGATTCGTCGATTTGGACCACCTCGATAGGTCCATCCAACATTATCATCGTCCAACATTATAGTTAAATATAATAAAGATTAACGATTATTTCATCAAATCATCAAAAAACTTGCAATGTTCTTTGTTATGTTTTCATTATTTAGTGACTGGCAACAGCTACTTTTTCAGTTATTTCTCATATATATCACATTTAATTAGGTATATTTTTGTGACATCAGCTTCACTTTAAATAATTCTTCAAGTATATACATAGTTTATGACTATAATATAGGAAAAACAATAACCGAAGTACTTTTGTAAAGGGCATAAGGCATTCTTCAAAAAAGTGTCTTTAGCTAACGCTATCGTAGGACACGAGGTGGATTTAGTACAGTAAAACCTTCCGGCCACACCTCCAAATCTCATTTTCATGACAATCCTGTGCCGATTACACATTTTTGCGCTAGTATATAAGTAAGAATTTGATAAACCAAGTTAAGGTATATTACTATCCATGATGTGGCAACATCGCAACTAGATGGAGAGAATATGACAGTGACTGTAGTGTAGTGATGGGAATAATTATCTGAAATAAATGAAATGACACTTAACAATAAACTATTTTCATCATTAAAATAATGCAAAACTGCATTATTGCGATGAACAGTGTTACAGTGTATGTTATATTCATATACAATCTTTTGTATAAACAAGAAGATAACAGCTTATAAAGCAATATTCTATACAACAGTATTAGCACCCAAAATGCAACTTTGAAGTTCTATAAAATAGCAAGCAGCCGTTAAAACATCTAAAATTTGCTCATTTTAGAACGTGTTGATCAAATTTTGATACTTAATTTGGGGTTCCGTCATGTCAGCGCGATGGCAAAAATGTGACAATTTCCTGACTCCGCCCCTGTCTGTTCAGTTCCTCGCCTTGCACTTCTCTGCGTGCCGCTGCCCATGTTACCCCACCATTCATTGAAATGGCCGTTTTCTGTTTTCTTGTGATAGCACAATTTCAAACGGCGTGAGCGGTGTGTTGAATCCGTGTACAAGTGCAAGGTGGTTGCTTTCCCATTATCTAAAATGCAATTTTCCAGCTGAATACCATCTATTTCCACCCGAGACAGTGTCGTGTGATCGAACTGTGATACGTGAAAGTGACTATTTTGTTGTTTACCTGAGATTATTTGGATCGTACAGTTGGGCAGAGAGAGTTCTGTCTACGTACGAGCTGGCCAGTGTGTTACTTACCTACATAATTAATTTTCTTACAATATGCCAAAAGTGCTCAATTCCTATTACAGATTTCGTTCAATTATTCGAAATTTATTGTTGACAACACAGCTGTAAATATTTAGCCATCACCAGAACGTCTGTTCGGGAAGGCGGATGAGAATGCCAAGCATCAAATTACGTGTTTAGATGCAATTCGAGACATAAAATCTAATATTTAAATTTTTATTTATGTTTAGACATATAAAACATGAAATATGTAAATATTAGCTTTATTAGAACAGGGTTGGATTCTGTATAATTGTCACCCATGCAAATTGAATTCCCTCCTCAATTACACCAAAAACTGCATCAAATTTGTTTTCATTAGTAATATTTCTTTAACGATTTTGATCAATATCAATGCATATTTTAGTTTCCATAATGAAAATTTTACAAGAATGAATGCCTTCAATATGTTGAAATGCATTGGTCTATCTTGACCTTGTTTCTTTATCTTGTAACTGGTGATCATCCCTCATCAAGCCTGGCTAAAACGTAACTGATCTTTTAAAAAAGTAACATCATTATTGGGGTATAATGGAAAATGAGATCTGTCCTTTTTTCTAGTTATCATGTGGAATTAATTGTAGAATGTAGATGTCATAATTCCATCACTCTGTATATCGTGGCTCATAAGCAACAGACAAATTGTTCGGTGAATACTACACAATCAGTATTTAACAAGATCTGTGAGTATTTATCTCGGAATGTAATAACATGGAAATCTGCTGACACTGACAGTCACACCAGAAAATATTTATGCTATAGATCACAGTAAATACTGATTTGTCATACTGACCTATGTGTTCTGCCACATATACTGGGTGTCACAGCACTACTATGCCAGAAAAAAACTTGTTTTTGTCCAATTTCAAGGATCAAGTGCGGTGATTTAGTGGTAGACACTGTGACCCACAAATTTGGCAACCGTGAGCTGCATGGGCTCAGATATCTCAGGAAAATGTTTCTCTTGCCTTTGGATGTTCTCATTGTCTGTAGGAGATCTCAGGGCCAGAATGTGGCTTGTTATATGCATACTTGTTCCTTAGCCCATTGTGGTGGTTCAAGTATAAAAAAAAATCTTACCTGTCTGTCTGGTGTGGTGTTAGAATAAAATTGCGCTATCCTTAGATCTTTACCATATTTGTTACATTTGCAGTTATGTGTGAAACTGACATTCCATCCGAATCTTAAAGACTGATGTGCAATCAAAGTGTGACTATGTGGGTAACGAACTAGAACTATTTATTACCTTCCAAGTGCCTTAAAATAAACGAATTTAATCAAAAGAACCCCCAAGTGCCTGTTTTTCCATCATCAAAAATGAAAAGTATCAAAGCAATCTTTCGTAGAGGTCAGAATGTTAGGCTGGATGGTCAGAATCTGGACAACCTCTCGAGGACGTCCTCTGTAACAAATTTGGAGGAGCAGCAGCTGCAGCAACAGCAGACTCAGCAACAGCTGCAGCAGCAACAGCTTCATCATCATCCAAAGGGGACCAAGCCTAGGAAGACTTTGTCTAAGGAGAGAATTGATAAAACCAATGAGCCGACTAGGAGGAATGAAAAGAAAAGTAAGTTTAAAAGAATAATCAAGTTTCTTTAATTTGTAATGATACTGAGGAAATAAGTTATTTGTTATCTGTTATCCACCCTGTTTTTTCACAGTATGACCTCAGTCTTCCTAGGCTGCTTGAATCATTTTATGGAATGTGGTGCTTAATGCTTTGTTAATTATTATGAGCATTTTTTTCAGATTCAGCAAGGAACAACAATAAAATCGAGTCAGGGGAGAGTCCCTATCTCTCCATAGACTCGTTGCAAGAAGAAGAGTTCATCCAGTTGAGGAAACAGTTACAAGATATGGCTCAAGAAAAAACAAACTTGGCCCTACAGTTAGGGGAACAAAAGGGACAGTTGAATATCTTACAGAAAGAAATTCAAAAACTAAAGGTGAAATTTATTCTTTGGTTTTCATGCTGCTAATCCTTTAAGTTTATCTAGCCACTGAATGAAACCACATATGCACATATGCTAAAATAATGTTTGCTTATGACTTTTTGGCTGCTATGGTGGCCATAACATTGACAATACTGTTTATTTCAGGCATATATGGTTTCGTTTCACAAAATATAAAAACTACATTTTCAGAAAATTGGTAATAATTTCTGCTAATATCGGGATTCCTTTTGCTGCTGAAAATATGATTATACCAGGTTTGTCCAAAAAATATCTCTCCTGGTCTCCTTCAAAGTACTTCCCTGAGACAAGATGCACTTCTGCCAACGCCGTTTCCACTGTTGATACGACCGCTGAAAGTCTTCAATTGTGAGGCTCTTCATTTGCCGTGTCGTTTCTGCCTTGATGGCTTCCACATTCCCCAAGTGCCGCCCCCGAAACATCATTTTGCAATCAACATTTTTTTTTTCACATTGGACCTTGATTTTTTCAACTTTTTTGTTTTTGGTTCTGCTGCTTTGAGATTTCAGCTCCACATCGAATTCGTAGAACCAAGACTCGTCTTCAGTGATGATTCTGTTGAGAAAGTCCCCCCTTTCCACTATTTCCAATCAGTCCCCACAGGAAGCAACCCTCCTTGCTTTCTGTTCTGGAGTCAAGAGCTCCGTATCGATTTTCGCGCACATTTTTTCATTTCAAGTTTTTCAGTCAGAATTTCGTGGACGATTGTTTTCTAACTGTTAATCGACGGTCTTTAAGAACACAGAACACAATTGTCTCCGTCAAAAATCTCACGACCATTTTGCCTAGCTTTGCAAGGAACTTGATGCGGTGCTTCTCGGTCATGCCGACGCCAGGTAAAAAAGGGGTTACTTTCAACAAGCGCACGTAAATCCTACTTACTCGCAGAGCGCTCCTGCTCGAACTGAGCATAGAGGGGATTGCACAGAGAGAGGGAACCACCGGGCCACCGCTCCACTTCCCATTGACGCAACGTATTTTACGGACAAACCTCATTAATATATTATAACTCTGAAATATATCTCCAATATGCATTTATTTTTTCCAGTCATTCCAAGAGGAATCAAATGTACAGTTAGAGCATCTGACAGCTGAAAATACTCTGCTAAGAAACAGGTTACGTGATGTTGCCCATTCGCCATTGTCGGATACAGAGAAACAGCAACTGCTGGATTCCCACCGACATCACAGCTCAGCTCCTGCATCCATTGCAACAAACGTAAGTATTCTTCAATAATTAGAAATTTTTAGAGTTCATTTTGATCAAAAAAACATTCTATACATCACTCAAACAGTATAGGCGGCTTGGAGTTTGCATGGACCTACAATTTTTGCACTCATATTCATTGACTAGTCAGCTTAGTGGTCAATAGTAACACAAAATTAGGTCAATCAAGAGCTAATGTTTCCTTTGACACATTTTTATAACTTACTTTTTTGAGACAGATGTTTTTAAAAAATCTTGTTTAAAGCCTGTTAGATAACAGTGAAACATGGATTGCAAATCATATGTTGATGTATAAAATTGTACAGTTCATGAGTAAAACTTTAATTATTAGAATGTGAAGCTTTGTTCTTAAAATCATAGGGAAACTATTAAGGTGAAGCTATTGTCCTCATGTTATAGTTCTATTTATGGTTTCAGCTGCTTGAAGATGACACTGGAGTTGATGCAACTCCATGCACAACACCTGATTGGGATAAATACTCATCGGGGAATGTCAGTGAAGTTTCAGTGGCTTGCCTGCAGGATAAGATTCATCAAATGCAAGAAACCCACTACAGGTACGTTTTTCAGATGTATGTTCATATAAAAGGAAAATTAGATAGTGTTAACATACAAGGTTACAGTGCAAGTTTTGTTCCAGTGAATGGAGCTCGCGAAAATTCTGCTTGGTATCTTGGTGTCATTCTTGACAAGGAGATGGCCTGGCAGAAACACACAAGTGTTGAAAAAATGACGTTTCGACAACTCAATGCTATGTAGATCCTCTAAATTAGGTTTGATTAATGTTTGGCTATACAAGATGGCTATAAGACCAGTAATCACTTACAAATGCGTAGCTTTATTGTTTTTCGCCAAAACGCATATGCTAAACCTGCAGATTCTGCAGAAGCGAACCTTGTTTACAATAACCAACATCTATGGTCCATACAACCAAAATTAAAATTTCTCCACAACAGCCAATCTGTAAATTAATGTTTGGATGAATTTAAAATTTCTGAATACTGTGCCACGTCACCCCTCTTCCTTCCTTTTTTCTTCCCCTCCCTGACTGTCTGGTATCTGGTCAACCAAACCTGGCAGACCTACCAACCTACAATACCTTAAAAAAAGCAAAATTGTGTTCAGGGACGAAGCTCATTTCTGGTTGAATGGGTACGTTAACAAGCAAAATTGCCGCATCTGCAGTGAAGACCAGCCAGGAGCATTGCAAGAGCTACCAATGCATCCCGAAAAAATCACTGTTTGGTGTGGATTATGGGCCGGTGGCATCATCGGGCCGTACTTCTTCAAAGACGACAATGGCCGGAACGTAACTGTGAATGGCGAGCGCTACCGTGCGATGATAACAAACTTTTTTTGCCCAAAACGGAAGAGCTGGACTTGGCTGACATGTGGTTTCAACAAGTTGGTGCCACATGCCACACCGCACACGAAACAATGGCCCTATTGAGAGGCGAGTTCGGTGAACAGTTTAGCTCACGTTTGGGGCCCGTCAATTGGCCGCCTAGATCGTGTGATTTAACGCCGTTGGACTATTTCTTGTGGGGCCATGTTAAGACTAATGTCTACAGGGATAAACCAGCAACGATTGACGCACTAGAAGCCAATATTGAAGCATTTATTCGTGAGATACCGGCCGATATGTTGGAGAGAGTGTGCCAAAATTGGACCTTGCCCGTGGGCCATCTAAAGCGGAGCCGCGGCCAACATTCACATGAAATAATCTTTAAACATTAAATTATATCTACCGTTCTATCGACTCAAATAAAGATTTAATCGTTTTTTCAAATTTTTTGTGTTTTTTTTTTAAATCAAATCCTAAACCTCTTAAAAAATCACCCGTTATTTATTAACATTATTAATAAAAGTGGCTATACTATCTGTCCGACTTTTCCGATTTTTTCAACCCTATAATTTGGAAAGTACGCGACAGTCTTCTGTTAAAACACGAAAAGTAACTTTCTGTTCGATTTGGTCTTATTTCTGGTAACATTTCCAGCACTAACGAGGAGCTACAAGCCACACTTCAAGAGTTAACCGACCTACAAAGGCAGCTGATCGAACTGCAGCAAGAAAACGAAAGACTGAACGATGAAAAAACGCTTATGTTCGACAGCCTTTGCAGACAAACCGAACGGCTGAACGATTCACGTTCTGAAGTAGAATCTTTGAAGCAACTTATATACCAAGAAAAAGGTGAGACTGACCAATACGGTTCAATCGCAGAACGAGAACAAAAACTGGTTGATCTACTGAAGGCAGCTCAGGAGGAAAGGGAAAACCTGATGGTGAAACTAGAACAAATGACGAGTGAATTACAAGAGACCAAAGCTGCTCTTTCGGACAAAGATAATGTCATACAGCAAATGAACGAGAGGATAAAAACATTAGAGTACACTTTAGATGCGAGGTATGCAGAACACAAGCAATTAGACCAGGAACTGATGCAGGCTAGAGACCAATGTAATGGGAAACAAATCGAGATCAATAGACTGAATGATTTGTTGGATAATGCTAAAACCAAGGTGGGTATTTAGTAGCCCCTATCACGCTATTCTAAAAGTACTTTGTCTGGAAATATAGCTTTGTTTCGGAAATATACGCTCTTAATGGAAGACGAAAAAAACTCGATTGGTCATTTTGAGAATCTAGAAATTTTGATGTCATTGACCCGAAAAACATTCAGATATTAATTTCGAAAAGACTCAGCCGAGCTTTTGTTTTTTCAGTTTTTGGAGATTGGGTGCAGTGTAAATTTATACAGGATGTCCAGTAGGTTAGTTCACTTTTTGATTTAAGAAAAAAAATACAAACTTAATGAAATGAAAAAAAAAAAATTTATTACTATCACCATATTCGTAAAAACCTTCTAATCGCGAGCGCAAATTCTGAAACCATCTCTTGCAGAGTTCCGGACTGATGTTGTTTATTTCTCGTCGAATGTTGTCTTCAAGCTCCTCTAGAGTTCATGAATTCTTCGAATACATTTTGACTTTGAATAACCCCACAAAAAATAATCGCATGGCGTGAGGTCGGGTGACCGAGGAGGCCAGTGAATGTCTCCAAACTTCGATATAACTTTTTGAGGAAAAAGTGCTTTCACCGTGTCCGTCGCTTCTCTGGAAGTATGGGCAATGGCCCGATCCTGTTGAAACCATGTGTTCGACGTTCTGTTGTTACAATAAGAGCTAAACAAGTGTCAATCATATCCTTGTGTCGCTCGGAATTGACTGCGAATGCATGACCGTTTTCATCAAGGAAATACGGCCCAATAATACCGCTAGAGGATTTGGCGCACCATACAGTCTATGCACTATGTAGCTGTTGTTGATGTTTCTCTTTTGGGTTCGTTGATGCCCAATATCTGCAATTTTGCTTGTTCACGTAACCATCTAAGTGAAAATGGCCCTCATCACTGAAAACCACATTCTCGAGTCTGAGCTTCTCGTTCAGCACAAGATTTCCGTAATACGTAATCACTCTTCTTTAACGCATGGACTGATTGGATTTTATAAGGATGAAAACCCATTTTTTCTTCATTATGCCATGCAGTGTTGACCTAGGGATTAACAAAGCAGCGGAATACTTCCGTACAGTACGCCGAGGATTTACAATGACCGATTCACTTACTCGACGCACATTCTCTTCGGTTGATACAGTAGGTGTGGGGCCAGAAATGGGTTGACGAACAGTAGGGCCTGGAACCTCTTAATCCATTTTTTTAATAGGTTCTTACGAGGGTGGTCCCAGAAGTACCCGACCCAACGAAGAAAACTTTTCTAAAACAGTATATTTATTTTTCATCATAATCTCCTTTGAGCTCTATACACTTTTCCCAGCGATGTTCAATAAGTTCGACACCCTTTTTATAATAATAACTGTCTTGCTCCTCAAAATAGCCATTAACTGCCGACATCACTTCTTCATCGTTGGAAAATCTTTGACCACTGAGCCATTTTTTCAAGTTTGGAAACAGAAAATAATCCGAGGGGGCTAAATCTGGTGAATAGGATGCATGAGGTAGCAATTCAAACTTTAATTCATTAATTTTGGCCATTGCAATAACGGATTTGTGAGCTGGTGCATTGTCTTGATGAAACAACACTTTCTTCTTAACCAAATGCGGCCGCTTTTGCTTGATTTCATCACTCAAACGTTGCAATAAGTTCGCATAATACTCGCCGTTGATAGTTTTATCTTTTTCAACGTAGTCAATGAAAATTATCCCACGCGCATCCCAAAAAACCTACGCCATAACCTTGCCTGCAGATGAAACGGTCTTCGCCTTCTTTGGAGCCGATTGTCCCTTTTGAGTGCATTGTTTTGATTGTTCTTTTGTCTCGGGTGTGAAGTGAAACGTCGCTAAACACTCATTTGAAACATCTTCACGACACTGTTTTTGCTCGATTGTGAGCAATCACGGCACCCATCTTGCACACAGTTTTCTCATGTCCAAATTTTCAGATAATATGCGATGAACCGCACTTTTTGAAATGCCTACTATGTCTGTTAGCTCGCGCACTTTCAGACGACGATCATTCAGTACCGCTTTGTGAATTTTCTTCACCATTTCTGGAGTCGTCACCTCATTTGGTCGAAAACTGCGATGCTCGTCTTGGCAGCTCATACGGCCTCGTTTAAACTCTGCTACCCAATATTTTCCTGTTGTAAACGAAGGAGCAGACTCACCCAGAGTAGAATCCAGTTCAGCTTTTATATTGGTTGGGCTGAGGCCTTTGAAATAAAAGTATTTTACCAATTTTCTCCATTTTCACAAATTCACTGAAAACGTTCAGTATTGATTGCTGCCAAACAAATACTAAACAATGTGGCGTCTTCAAGCTTGACACATATGCTTTATAGGTTGCATACTTTCTAATACAATGATATTTTTCAAACAACTATCGTCATCTCTAGGTCAGGCCGGGTACTTTTGGGACCACCCTCGTACTTTGGGCGTCTTTTGGTCGGCGAATGTTGTATCGTATACAAAATTCCGAAGGGCAGCTGGTATGAATCACCACTCTTAAAGTAAGCCTCGATAGCAAAAGCACGTTGCGCTCCGGTCCAACGTTCCATTGTGACTATTTAACCCGCACTCCGAACGCGTCGATCACGACCTCTCCCCACTTACGGTTGCCACGTAATTCATATTTGAAATGTGAACTTTCCCACTGGACAACCCGTAGATGCAGTATCGAAACAAGTCTGTTTTTTCCCAAAAATGGATCATTTAACGAAATCAAACGAGTATATTTGTTTCATATAAAGGTTTAGGTTTTCTAAAAGTGTTATTGTAAATGTATTGTAGTTGGTGTTATTTATAGACCGCCTCGGGGAACTTTGGATGTTGCAGTAAGCATATTAGATAATACGTTGTCCATCTTAGCACCGTCGAATGAATGCATCTTGGTACTTGGTGACCTCAACGTTAATTTCTTTATTGATAATAAGATTAATCAGTGCTTTCAATCTTATAGCCTGCACCAGTTATTGAATGAACCAACTCGAATAATTGATCATTCTTCAACGCTTTTGGATCCGGTTTTCTTCATCTGTGCACAAAGATGTTCCAAAGTGGGAACTTTCACTGTTAACTTTAGTGATCATCAGGCTGTATTCTGTCACATTTCGTGTAAAAACAATAAACCACCACCTAGACTAATTACATTTAGAGACTATCGCAATTTTGATCTAACCTCTTTTGACGATGACTTATTTAGCGTTAATTGGGCTGAAGTTATTTATATGGCTAATATCGATGAGAAAGTAAAATTTATTTCCGATAACATTGTAGGACTTTTTGACATACGTTACATGCACCACTAAAAACAGTGAGAGTGTCTAAGCCTCGTGCACCATGGCTCACAAACAATTTGAAAATGATAATGAAAGAACGAGATAAGGCTTTTCATAAATATAGACGGTCTCGAACGGATGCGAATCGAAATCATTACAATGAACTGAGAAATTTTACCAAAACTGCCACACGTGCAGAGAAATCAGGCTACCTTCAACATCTATCTCGACAAAGAAACTCTGCAGCTCTTTATAAAGCTCTTAAGTCATTTAGAATTCAGGATTCTAGTAATACTGACATTCCGGATGACTTAGCAGTTCCCAATGAAATAAATAACTATTTTACCAGTATATTCCAGAAAAGTGACGATGATTGCTCGGAAACTATCGAATTTTATAGCCATAACAAATTAAACCAAGATTTTCATTTTCAGTTCCGTCTTGTCGATATATCTACAGTATTGGATGCTATTCGCAGTATCAAGTCCAATTCTAGTGGTATTGATGGCATTACCATTGAGATGATTAAATTGTGTCTACCTGCTGTAGGAATATACATTTTGCACTTAATAAATTGTTGTTTAGAGCGCGGTGTTTTTCCAAGTGCTTGGAAGGAAACATTAGTGCAACCTCTTCCAAAGATTCCCAATCCCCAGGTTCCTGGTGATCTCCGACCTATTAGCTTGCTGTCAGCTCTATCAAAAATTCTAGAAAAAATAGTCTATATGCAGTTGAATGAGTATTTACTCGAACGCAGCATTTTGCCATTAAATCAATCAGGCTTTAGAAAGGGTCACAGTACCCCTACCGCTTTGGCACGGGTTTGTGACGATGTACTAACAGCGGCGGATAGGCAAGAAGCAACTGCATTAGTCTTATTGGATTTCAGCAAGGCTTTTGACACCCTGAATCATAAGCTGTTAGTCTCTAAATGTAAATACATTGGGTGTGACGACTTGGTTCTGGAATGGATAGATTACTATTTAAATGAACGACATCAATATGGCGTCATACAAAATAAACTTTCAGACAAAAGGCCGATTTGTTCCGGCGTGCCTCAGGGATCCATATTAGGTCCACTTTTATTCCTTATATACACCTTTGACATTTCCAACACCCTTCAACATTGTTCTAGTCAATCATATGCTGATGATATGCAGGTTTTCATGATTTCTGTCCGAACAACTACCATTTAGCTAACAACCTTATCAATCAAGATCTGCAATACTTATGCACATATGCTGAAAAACATAATTTACGTCTAAACGCATCGAAATCGACAGCTATACTTTTTTGCTCCAAGAAAAACGTACTTTCCTCAAATCAAAGTTAAATTTATCAATAAATAATAGTATCCTAATATTTTCCCATTCTGCAAAAAATTTAGGTTTGTACTTGGATGAAGATTTCAGATTTCAGGAGCATGTTGGCTATGTGTGTAAGTCTAGTTATTTTAGACTCAGGCTTCTATATGCAAGTAAAACTGTTTTAAATAGAAAAATTAAGAAAATGTTATGCGAGTCACTCATACTCAGTAAAATCGCTTACTGCAACATAGTTTATTATCCCTGTCTGGATGAAATCACAAAATACAGACTGCAAAAAATTCAAAACTCATGTAGTCGTTACATAAACAATTTAAGAAGGTACGATCATGTTTCTCACTCAATATCGTCAATGAATTGGTTGAAAATTTCTGATCTTTTCAAATACAACTTTGTGACATTTGTCGTAAAAATATTAAAAACTTCTGTTCCCGTTTATCTTATGCAAAAGCTTGTTCGTAGGAATTTAATTCACAATTTGAATACGCGCAACATTAATCTCCTGACAATGCCACAACATAGGACAGCCATTTTTCAACGGTCTTTTACGTATAATGCGGTGAAATTGATCAACTCTTTCGAACAATGTTTCATCAGCAACTTTTCTAAAAAAAATATAAAAACTACTTATTGAGCTCTTAGGTTATTGTCCTCTCTTTGAATCGTACGTATTATGTTTTTTGTTCTAATCGTACGCATTATGTCATATTTATTAATTCTTCTTTTACTATTATTCTTCTCTTTCCTTTTCTTTTTCAGATTTTTTTTTTTTATTTTATTTTGAAGGTAGTAATAAGCATTGACATTTATGGTTAAGTATTAATGGCCATTGGCCAGACTTCGCCATTTGTAAGGATACATAATTATGTATGTGTTACAATAAAGTCCATTGAATTGAATTGAATTATTGTACAGGTTGTAAATTATCGGCGGTATTGGATTATGGAGTTCTAAGTGTTGTTTTCCATGAACATCATATCAGGTGATGCTTCAACTAGATACTGTGCTGCCAACATTTCGATGGATATACAGTGATGTTCAAAAGTTACTTGATAAAAACCGATTTCCAGCAATGTACTTGTATTACCAAACGAAGCGTCATAGAACGAAATAGTCTTAGAATAATCCAATGTCTTGGACGCAGCTTGTATATTTTTGATTGTAGATCAATGAATTAGAACAAGATAGGACGATGAGCGACAAATCAGAACTGGATGAACTGCTTGATAATGCCAGGAAAGAAAAACATTTGCTTGAATCAGAAGTGGCTCATTTGAGAGAACAATTGGCTATTGGTAAAAATGAAATTGAAAAACTCAAAGAGCAAGTATCGATATTACAAGAGGAAGTTATGGTAAATATTCGAATAGTATCATAATTGAACATAGGCATAATTTGGAGATATTTCAGGTGACGAGAAATAACGCGAAGAGTACACAGTCTGATCTCGAATACAAATGTGAGAAGGTAATGAAGGAAAAGTGTGCCCTTGGTGATCAATTACAGGAATTTCAGGAAGCTTTAAATGAACTCCAAGTAAGGATTTTATTTGGTATATTAGCAGTATTCTCAATGATATCCAAACCTAGGCTGTATTTAAATTTAAATTCAAAATTTTAAGTGAAAATCAATATGGATTTACAGAAGGGAAGGCTACATCGGACGCAATAACTAAAATTGTAAATCAAATACATCAAAATATTGATAACAGAATCCCTTCAATCTGCATTTTTGTTGATTTAAAGAAAGCTTTCGACACAGTTAATCACAAATTATTATTAGAAGCATTGGAGAGAATTGGTTTCAGAGGAAACGCGTACTCACTGATCGAAAGTTATTTGTCAAATCGCCCACAATCTGTGCAGATATCAGGATTATTTAGTAAAGAAATGTATATTAAGTGTGGTGTCCCACAAGGAACTGTCTTAGGTCCGCTGTTATTCAATATATATTTAAATGATATTTTCCAAATTAATTGTGTTGGCAAAATAACTAGTTTTGCAGATGATACTGCAATATTATATGAAGGCACTGACTGGTCTAATCTGAAAATGTAATTGAAAATGATTTTATCAAAATTATTCAGTGGTTTAACAGTAGAAAATTAAGCATTAACTACTCTAAAACACATTTTTTACCATTTGGATCTTATGCTAGACATCTGCCAAATTACACAAATTTCTCCTTCAATATTAATGATCAAAAAATGCAAATTAATAGAGTGCCCAACATAAAATACCTTGGAGTGGTCTTGGATCCTCACTTACGATGGGACATCCATGTCAATTATATTTTAAAGAAAGTTAGATTTGTATCCTACAAAATTAAATACCTTGGGAATATATTGACAGAAAAATATCTTCGAACATTATACCATGCACTGATTGAGCCTCATCTCACATATGGTATATTAGCATGGGGAGCTGCATGTTCCTCACATATCTATAATTTAGATGTTTTTCAAAAAAGTATTCTAAAAATGATATTTAAAAAACCGAAACTTTATCCCACTGAAAAATTATACGCAGATGTTCGAATGTATGATATAAGACAGCTTTATTTCTTACACAGTATCACTCACTACCATAAATTTGTAAACACCGACCAAAAAATTAAACATAATCATTATACCAGGTACAAAATTCGTGGCACAGTAGTTCCTCAACCGCATAAATCTATAATGCAGCGATCATATCTCTATTTAGCGCCTAAATTTTATGAAATTATACCTAAAGACTTAAAAGATTTACGTTTCGGAAATTGTTTCAAAAGAAATTTAAAAAAGTGGCTACATTCTATATCTAGGAAATTCATAAACTCATAAATACGAACATCAAGTAAATACATAATCTACTGTAGCTAATTTTTGTCCTTTTTTGTCATTTGCATTCTACAGTTTCAACTTAAATTATTGGTCCATGTACAGGCGATGCCTTCTATTGGGCCTGTTTTGATTTTATATTTATTTACTCATATTGTTTGTTATCTTTGTACATTGAGTGAATAAATATTATTATTATTATTATTATTATTTGGACGTTCACGTATACTATAGAAAAACAAACTCCATTTTCTTTTTAAATGAAATTGTTTACTGAAAAAAATAGCATTAACCTTCCAAGCAAAGATCACCTTTCCTTGTAATTGAATCCGGAGTGCACGTGAATTTTCCAGGAGACAATAAAAAACTCTCACCGACAAGTAAACCAATTTTAAAGCACTTTTTGAGCTTGATGTAGCAATACGAAAGATTTAAATTTCGAATAATCATCACAGCTTAATAATGACAATAATGGAAGAAATTCGAAAAAAAACTTACGTTGTTTTAGCAAGAAATTAAATATCCATCAGATTTTTCATTACTGATTGTTGAAAATCACACTGAAATATTGAGGAAAATTTTCAGTTTTGAACGTAAACCATGAATCGATCATCGTGAAAAAATATCAAAAATACATAGACTTACGAGGGATGTCTTTTAAGTTTTGTATATGGAAATAAAACAACACGGTAGGTAGTTTTAAATTACTTTATTCTTTTTCGAAGTATTCTCCACGAAGATTAATACACATCTGCATGCGCTCGAACCAATTTTCGAAGCTCGTTTGCTGGCAGATCTAAAACGGCATTTTTGAATGCGTCAACTGCTTCTTCTGGTGACTGAAACCTTTGACCACGCAGTCTGTTTTTAATTTTCGGGAAAGTAAAGAAATCGTTAGGACTTAGATCGGGACTATATGGAGGATGGTCCAATAATTCCACGTTTTCTTCCGTTAAATACTGCCTTGTTTTTTGGGCTGTGTGCGAGCTTGCGTTGTCTTGGTGGAGGATGATTCTTCTTTTGGGGTTGATTTTTCGAAGCTCGGTGATGACTTTTGGCAAACAAATGGTGGTATACCAATCCGCAGTAACAGTTCTTTGCTCATTAAGAGGAATTGTTGCAATATGACCCGCTTTTGACACAAATGTCGCGACCATCTTTTCGAAACACTTCAAGAACGGATGACTTTTTTTGGCTTTTCTTCACCTTGGAACAGCCAAACAGCCGACTGTTGTTTATTTTCTGGTTCATAACAGTAAATCCACGATTCATCACCACTATACTACAACTATCTAAAACTGTAATGACTCATCGATGTTCACGTGAACATCACTTAACTACCAGTAGTCGGCTGTTCATAGGCGGGGTATGAATGTTTAACATGGGTGAACTAGATTTGTCACATGCTTAATAAAGAGTGGTTTGAAACATATTGTAAGTCAAAAATTTGGGAATTACCTTTATTCATCGTCGCTTCCACTTACATCTGACAGTAATAAACTGTCGCTATCGCTTTCCTCGTTGAAATTGACTATAACTGGCTCTATGATGGTGTCGATGTGGTGGTCAAGCTGCCACATTTTGTTTCTTCCTTCACAACATGACGGATAGCATTCTGCCAAGCTTCGGGCGTTACTAGCTGCATGGAAGTCTCAAGTAAAACCTTGACGTCTGGTAATTTGAAGGTTGTGTTATGGTGCGCAATATAAAACTTCACTTGAGCCCAGATGAGCTCTATTGGGTTCAGTTCACAGTGGTAGGGCGGTAACCGCAGCACAGTGTTACCACATTGACGGGCCATCTCATCAGTCACGTAACTAATGTTCGCAGGTTTGTGCTGTTTAATTTTTTCATACAATTCCGCTTTCACACATGAATCGTCAAACAGGATTCCTTTTTCGCGCAACCATAGCTGCATGTCACTTTTTCGAGATCCCATAGTCGGTACACGTTCGGCTCGACGACTATGGTAGGAAGCATTATCCATGACGATCACAGAGTTGGGCTCGACTCGCTGAAGCACCCCTTGAAACCAGCTCTCGAAGCAGCTGGCATTCATTTCGTCATGGTAATCACCTCCTTTCTTAGAGACGAAAATCAAATCACACTCTCCTAAAAAGCCACTATCGCTACCAATATGAGTTACGATTAATCTTTGACCTTTCCCTGACGGTCCACGAAGACCTGTTGACAAACCTTCAATGCTTGCTTGTCGGTTACTCACTACGTTTTTGTCTATCCAGGTTTTTTTAACTGTGTGACCTGCATTTACCCATGTCTCGTCCAAATAATAGATTTTTCTGCTTTGTCGCCTATATTCAATCATTTCGCGTAGGTATTTTCGACGCCAGGCGACTATTTCAGGCCTCTCTATCAATACTGACTTCCGATTACGCGTTTCGTAACGAAAATTAATTTCGTGCATGGATTTCCTCATTACCTCGACGCTCATTTGGGGTATAATTTCATTTTCCTTGATCGCTGCATGTACAGCTTTGAGGGTTGGCATCTCATTCCTAAGAAGGATGAATGTACGGTTCGCCTTAACGCCATTTTGCTATCGTCATCCAATTTAACGGCCTTTCGTCCCTTCAAATTAAACTTTGGATCAGTAGTAGCTCCAGTTTTCTTCTTTTCATGCACCACCCTGCGAATGGTCCACTCTGGAACGCCTGTCATACTTTCACAACGCGCGAATGCATCTCCCTGCGACATAGTTCTGTTCAGATAAACACAGATAAAAACACACAATATGCGATCGCTCAACGAAACACGTTCCAATGCGTTGCCGACGCCTATGAGTCTGCCGGTCGAGGCGCGTCTTTGATTTCATTGGTTCTACAGGCGGAGAACAATCAGCCATTATTTCCATCTCTGTCTGTGCTGTTGACCACCGAAAAGCCACAGAAACGATATATGTCGTACGCTATACGGCTGTACTGGAAGGAAGCCGGGATCGAGCTCTGATCACGTGTTGATCACGCGTATGAGTCATTACAGTTTTAAATAGTTGTAGTATAACAATGCTGTACTCATTTTTTGAGTTTCCGGAATTGAAACGGTCAAGCGTTTTTTGACATCAATTAACCCTAGCTGCTTTCTGCGCTTCAGTCAACAGGTGGGGTATCCAACGAGAAATTAATTTTCTTACTCCTAACTCTTCATGTGAATTTTTTTGAATTGAGGTCTTTCAGATCTTCAACTACGCCTCAATCTCGCGATATGTCACATGTCTATCTTCAATGATGAGTTTGCGCACAGCATCGACGGTTTCATGGGTGACTGCCGTTTTTGGTGCACCCACCCTGGGATCGTCGCTAAGACTCACCCGTCCACGTTTGAATTCTCCGTACCAACGGAAAATTGTCGACTGATGTGGCGCTTCGTTGCCGAAAACAGACAGTAACTCAGCAAGGCATTCTGGTTGCGATAATTGTCTCTGGAAGTTGTAATAAATTATGGAGCGAAAATGTTCTCGGTCGAGTTCCATTTTACTAATGACTTGGTGACACTTAAAAATTCACTGTAGTGAGAACACTGCACGTATTTGAATTTGAGTTTACTAAAGAGTAAGGTTAAGATTCAGTACTGACGCTCGATCCGCGCGCCCTACTATGTTTCTATATGCAAAACTTAAAAGACATCCCTCGTACCGTTTGCGATCGATTGCCGGTTCGATAAGAGTGATGAAAGGCCGACGCGCTGTTGACGTGTGTGTTTTAAATATTTAATTCAATGAAACTTACTGACTACAAATTTTGGCTTAACTTAGAAAAACTTGACGCCATTTATTTGTTAATTACCCAGACAAAAATCTATTGACTTTTGGACCATGGGTCATATGATCTTTTTGACATTTCAATAATGACTACCATAACGTTTACACCCTGTATAATTAGACTTCGTATGTTGAAGGACATCTTTGTTCAACTTTGTGGATTTAGGTGGATGTCACCTGCTCACGCAATTAGTAAAGTTTATTTTATTGTTAGGTTCAAAATCAGTGTCAGCTTGAGGATAAACGACAACTATCAGCTGTGTTATCAGAGACTCAAAGGAATCTAAATGAAACTGAAAGGAAAAGTTTGAATTTGGAACGTGAGTTAGAAGACCTGAAAAGACTTAGAGCAGAAGAAGTAAGTTCAATGGGTCAACCTTCTTGATTCTTGGATGGAAAAGCGATGATTTGGGTTAGTTCAAACTATAATTTTTCCATGTGGTATTTTGTAGAATGAAGAGTGGGAAAAATTCCAAAGCGACCTATTGACTTCTGTAAGGGTGGCAAACGATTTTAAGACTGAAGCCCAACAAGAGCTACAAAGAATGATCATGGAAAATAAGACTTACAGAGAACGTGAACGTCAGCTCAGGGCAGAAATTGAGAAACTTAAAGGTAGGAATTTCTTATTAATACTTTTGAACAATATGTGATTTATGTGGCAGTGTATTAATATATTTATATGATTTCAGTTATTTTTTATTTGCTGACATTTAACAGATTTATTTGAGGTTAAGAAAAATTTGTATTCTCTTTGAATGACTTGAATGATGACAGCACTTTTACTAGGCCTCAATTGCCCCCACATATGACACAGATTTCACCATAGGAAGTCTATTATCAGTCCGATGATGTTTCAATGTTTTTCCAAACACCTGCTTCGCGATCGATTTGGTACCCTTCACTATGCGCTCCGCTCCCGGAGAATAGGAATTTTCAGATTATAAAGTAATATTTTTGATTCAACATGTTAGACTTTTTGGGAGAACCTTCAAGTAGCCGCAACAGTTTTTAATCACTTTTTATCACAATGATACGATCATGAGAGTTGAAATATGTACCTACTATTTGACAATACATGACAGAACGTAGGTGGTAGACGGTCTCTAACTGTCGAACGCGGAGGTACCACCCGGCGGATCTCTAAGGCGTGCCCAGCAAGTGTGGATTTGGCATACACACGTGTTCCCTCGCTAGAGTCCGTGTGGCGTCCCCCCTTTCACCCGTATTCCCCTATAATCCCAAACAGAGTAATGAAATATTATTTTGGTCATTTTTCAATTGTTAATTAATCATATACGAAGTGACATATAAATTCGAACACCCAGCTTAAATGGTTTTATTTTAATAAAAGTTGGTGAATGTATTTATCTTACTGTAAATAACAAGTGAAAAAATTTTCAGCCTTATCAGTTGGACATTCCGGTTTTTATACTGCTTTTTTTATTCACTAACGCTCCAAAAATGAATATTTCAGCCGCAGTAAAGAATCAACGTTGGCGGATTTTGGTTCTTGACATCCTTTACGATCGGTTACGATGCCTAGAGTACGGAGACCTGTTCGATTTCGTCAACTTAGTGAGTTTGATAGGGGCCGTATAGTGGGACTTCGGGAAGCTGGACTTTCTTTTCGGGCAATTGCAGTTAGAGTGCAAAGAAGTGTAGACACTGTGGTTAGGTGTTGTCAGGCATGGCGTCGAGAAGGCCGTACGCAAAGAGCAAGGGGCACTGGACGCAGCCGTAGAACAACAGACCGTGAAGATCGCCGCCTAAGATTATTGGCCTTAAGGGACCGTTTCTCCACTACCAGGTCCATTGCAAATGAATGGTTTGCAGAACACGGAAGACCTATTGGCATGCGAAGTGTTTACCGGCGAATGAGAAGTTTTGGCTTGTTTTCATACCGGCCACACTGGGTCCTCCCTTTAACTCGAGAACACCGACGTAATCGCCTTGAGTGGTGCAGACAACGGTCACTCTGGGATCAGGAATGGAACAGTATTGTCTTTAGTGACGAGTCTCGATTTTGTTTAGGCATGCACGATGGTCGTGCCAGGGTTAGAAGGCGACGTGGTGAAAGGAGGAATCCACAGTTTTTTGTTGAAAGACATGTTCATCACACTGTTGGAGATATGGTTTGAGGTGCTATAGCTTATGGTTCCAGGTCACCTTTAATCTTCATCAGAGGTAACATGAACGCGCAGCGTTATATCCACGAAGTTCTAGAACCCCATCTTTCACCCTATCTTGACACCCTGGCAGATCCAACTTTCCAACAAGATAATGCCCGACCACATGTTGCAAGAGTCACAATAGACTTCTTTCAACATAATGATGTCACATTGTTACCATGGCCACCAAGATCTCCCGACTTATCCCCAATTGAGCACGTGTGGGATATGATGGGTAGGAGATTGCTCAATTTGCAACGCCCTCCTCAAACTCCAGAAGCACTTCGAGAGGAGTTGGTGGTTGCCTGGAATGAGATACCACAGGAGGACATTGACCACCTGATCAGAAGCATGCCTAGGCGCGTTGGAGAATGCGTAGCACATCAGGGTGCATCCACACATTATTAAAGGTCAAAGGGCTTTAAAGCAGTGCAATCATTTTGAAATTTTTATCATTTACTTATTATGCTTCATTAAGTACTTATACAAAATTTTATTAAAATAAAACCATTTAAACTGGGTGTTCGGATTGAAATGTCACTTAGTATACATCTTTGACTTAACTGCATTGCCACATGATCACATATTGAGAATAAATACAAAACATTTGTTCATTCGTATACAATATATCTGTAGTTGAATCGGTACCTCTGCGACCGACCAGCTTCCCTAGTGAAGATGTCACTCTCAGGAGAAAAAACAACATTGTGTTGTCACGACAAAATAGTCGACAGTCGGTCAAGTCCCTCATTGAAAGCATTGAAAGTCAGGCGAAACCAGTTACAAAAACAGGTATGTAGTTGAGGCTATATACGTGTGAAGTGTGTATGTTTTATTGTAAACTTAAGTTTGATGAGTATATGTATATATATATATATATATATATGAGTATATATGTATAACACTTTAATCGAAAACAAGCTTTCAGTTGTTGTTGCCTACCTGGATTACGGGGCAATAGGAGCGTAAGGATTCGGCAAGAGGTCGTTTTTGTTTTGACATGCTCAGCTAAATAGCATGTAATTACTTTTTTTAATTAATTGATTCCCTTTTCAGGTTTGGGTACAGTTGTTTCAAGGAGCAGTTCAAATTCGTCCCTCAATTCATTAACGTCAGATGTAAGAAGTCCTACGGGCATGCTAGTGTTACCGACACCTACAGAATCACCTTTAAAGTCACCTCCAGATTGGAATGATGTCAATACTATTGGCCAAACTAAATCTTTAAAAGAACAGCAAACGAATAAGCTGAACCGCGACTGGAGTGAGTATTTTATCTATGAAACAATATCAGAAAATTTTGTTACAAAATATGTTTGATGCTAATTTGTTACTTTCGTAATTGTTGATTAATATTGTCTTTTCCAAGTGCTCGATTTTATCTCAAAATGAATGTATTTAATTATTATAAATGAAGAAATTTATGTTGCAGGTTCAGTAGATAAACATGAGGTGAAAATAAAGACAGACGACAACTACAGAGAAGCACTGCTACAAAAAGGAATGGATTTCTCGAGACGAAATAGTTATTCAGACTTGAGTACGTATTTAGTATGTTATACGAAAATTGGTACTATACTACAACTATTTAAAACTGTAATGACTCATACGCGTGATCAACACGTGATCAGAGCTCGATCCCGGCTTCCTTCCAGTACAGCCGTATAGCGTACGACATATGTCGTTTCTGTGGCTTTGCGGTGGTCAACAGCACAGACAGAGATGGAAATAATGGCTGATTGTTCTCCGCCGGTAGAACCAATGAAATCAAAGACGCGCCTCGACCGGCAGACTCATAGGCGTCGGCAACGCATTGGAACGTGTTTCGTTGAGCGATCGCATATTGTGTGTTTTTATAAGAATTGTTGTGTGATTGTTATTGTTGTGGTTTCTGTGGTTACTGTTTTGGTTATGGAGAGTACAAATGGCACGAGTGGAAGTACTGAAAGCCAGGGAACAAGTAGACGGCTTCGTAAAGCACTGAAGAGGGACGCGAAAGAAATCGTGCTCAACGTGTTCAATTATCTGAACAGAACTATGTCGCAGGGAGATGCACTCGCGCGTTGTGAAAGTATGACAGGCGTTCCAGAGTGGACCATTCGCAGGGTGGTGCATGAAAAGAAGAAAACTGGAGCTACTACTGATCCAAAGTTTAATTTGAAGGGACGAAAGGTCGTTAAATTGGATGACGATAGCAAAATGGCGTTAAGGCGAACTGTACATTCATTCTTCTTTAGGAATGAGATACCAACCCTCAAGGCTGTACATGCAGCGATCAAGGAAAATGAAATTATACCCCAAATGAGCGTCGAGGTAATGAGGAAATCCCTGCACGAAATTAATTTTCGTTACGAAAGGCGTAATCGGAAGTCAGTATTGATAGAGAGACCTGAAATAGTCGCCTGGCGTCGAAAATACCTACGCGAAATGATTGAATATAAGCGACAAAGCAGAAAAATCTATTATTTGGACAAGACATGGGTAAATGCAGGTCACACAGTTAAAAAAACGTGGATAGACAAAAACGTAGTGAGTAACCGACAAGCAAGCATTAAAGGTCTGTCAACAGGTCTTCGTGGACCGTCAGGGAAAGGTCAAAGATTGATCGTAACTCATATTGGTAGCGATAGTGGCTTTTTAGAAGAGTGTGACTTGATTTTCGTCTCTAAGAAAGGAGGTGATTACCATGACGAAATGAATGCCAGCTGCTTCGAGAGCTGGTTTCAAGGGGTGCTTCAGCGAGTTGAGCCCAACTCTGTGATCGTCATGGATAATGCTTCCTAACATAGTCGTCGAGTCGAACGTGTACCGACTATGGGATCTCGAAAAGGTGACATGCAGCAATGGTTGCGCGAAAAAGGAATCCCGTTTGACGATTCATGTGTGAAACCGGAATTGTATGAAAAAATTAAACAGCACAAACCTGCGAACATTAGTTACGTGACTGATGAGATGGCCCGTCAATGTGGTCACTGTGCTGCGGTTACCGCCCTACCACTGTGAACTTAACCCAATAGAGCTCATCTGGGCTCAATTGAATGGTTATATTGCGCGCCATAACACAACCTTCAAATTACCAGACGTTAAGGTTTTACTTGAGACTTCCATACAGCTAGTAACGCCCGAAGCTTGGCAGAATGCTATCCGTCATGTTGTGAAGGAAGAAACAAAAATGTGGCAGCTTGACCACCACATCGACACCATCATAGAGCCAGTTATAGTCAATTTCAACGAGGAAAGCGATAGCGACAGTTTATTACTGTCAGATGTAAGTGGAAGCGACGATGAATAAAGGTAATTCCCAAATTTTTGACTTACAATATGTTTCAAACCACTCTTTATTAAGCATGTGACAAATCTAGTTCACCCATGTTAAACATTCATACCCCGCCTATGAACAGCCGACTACTGGTAGGTACGTGATGTTCACGTGAACATCGATGAGTCATTACAGTTTTAGATAGTTATAGTATAGTAAATAATAACGGGATCTTTCAAACGATTTCATAGTTATTTATTAAAATACTTTTCTTTATTTGGAGGCAACGTTTTCCACATAATTTTAGTGGCCACACATTCATCGATAACTTTTAGGCTTATGGCGGATAGATTTTTACAAGAGCCTAGCATGCAATATTGTCGCGGACTGTAAAACATTTTTTTTTAAATTAGCCGATAGCCATTCCCCACAAGTTTTCTACGGGGCCTTTTGGATAACAGTTCAAAAATTTCTCATTTTTATTCTAGGTGAAAGAAAAGACCCACTAAACGGCTTAGTGAAAAATGGCGGTTCTAAGAGAAACGCGTTGTTGAAATGGTGCCAGAGCAAAACAGTAGGATACAGGAACATCGATATAACGAACTTCAGTAGTTCCTGGAACGATGGCCTGGCTCTGTGCGCCCTTATGCACACGTATCTACCGGAAAAGATACCCTACGATAGTCTAACGCCTCAGGAAAAAAGAAAAAACTTCTCCTTAGCTTTCTCTGCTGCAGAAAGTGTTGGAATTCCTACTACACTGGTAAGTTTAAGCAGTGAAACCTTCAATCATACAATGGCTACTTTTTTAAATAAAATTTTCCGAAATTTCTCTTGTTACAAGGGTGGTGTGAAAAGTTCTTAGCCTGGCAATGAAAAACTGCGATTTTCGGTTTAAACATTTTTTCATTATTTCATATAATCTTCGCTTCCAGCACACTTGCTTCAACGTTTCTCCAAGGTTACATTTGCTATTTATTGCTTTTTTATATGGGGTTGTCCAAAAGGGACGCAGGAAAGTAAACGCATATTAAAACAAGAAAGATTGATATTCAAATCAAGTTGGGTACTTTATTTTGAAGGTTCATTTATACCATTTATGTATGAAAAATAATATCGCTCAAATGTTCACCACGACTGGATTTACAGACGTCCACGCGATGGTCGAAATTTTCAATGACATTTTGCAACATGGTCGGTTCTATGGCATTTATCTCGGCAATGATGTTGTTTTTGAGTTCTTGGAGGGTGGCTGGTTTGTTGACGTAGACTTTGCTTCTCAAATATCCCCATAAAAAGAAGTCCAAGGGAGTCAAATCGCACGATCTTGGTGGCCATGGCACATTTCCTCTGCGCGAAATCACGCGATCACCGAAGAAGGACTGCAGTCGATGGATATTGACGTTGGTTGTGTGGCATGTTGCACTGTCTTGTTGGAAATAAACATCGTCCATACCCATTCCTTCAAGTTGCGGCAAAAAATAGTCCTCTATCATCACGTGATATCGCTCAGAATTGACGGTAACGGCGTCCCCGGCCGCATTTTCGAAAAAGTAAGGTCCGATGATGCCTTTTGACCACAATGCACACCACATAGTCACTTTTTGAGGATGCATCGGCTGCTTTTGATACTCACGGGGATTTTCGTTCGCCCAGATGCGGCAGTTTTGCTTGTTTACCGTCCCATTCAAAGTGAAATGCGCTTCGTCGCTGAACATGATTTTTGATGAAAAATTGGCATCAATTTGGCGGTGTTCAAGGAGCCAATCTGAGAACGTTCGGCGCGAAAAATGGTCGGCCCGACGCAGCTCTTGCGTCAGTTGGATCTTGTAGGCGTGTACATTCAAATCCTTGTGGAGAATGCGGAGCAAACTGGTTCTCGAAATGCCCAATTCTTGGGATAGACGCGTTGTTGATTGTTTCGGATCGTCTCTCACACTCTCCTGCACAACAGCAATATTTCCCGGTGTGCGAACGCTCCTTGGCCGGCCAGAGCCTGGTAGATGTGCCACAGAACGTGTGGCCTCGAATTTACGCACCAGACGACCGATGGTTGTTTCGTTTGGGCGGTTGTTGCGACCGAAATGTTCACGAAGCGCGCGAAACGTGTTTTTTATTTTGCACCATTTTTGTAGTGCTCTTGAATAACTTTAATGCGGTCTTCAATCGAATACGGCTCCATAGCGAACATTCAACTAACAAAATGACATGTCGGTGACAGAAAACAAAGATGGCGTCTATGTCAAATTGACGTTTACTTTCCTGCGTCCCTATTGGACAACCCTTTATTTTTATTACTGCAGATGAATTCTTTAAACTTGAGTCCATTACTGTGTACGATTTTTTTTTGTTGAAGATTTATTCGGTATTAATGCTACAGTGCCAATTTTGCATAATTTCTTACGCATTTTTTGATTTAATTTTCTGTAATTTTACATTCTTGTCTATTAAAATTACATCACTATGCATTTTGAGTATTCATAATTTCATTTCACCTTAAAACATTTTTAAATTTGAACACTGTTCAATATCATTATTTAATTTATTAAATTCAAATTCTAACTTTTGAAACACAGATTTGCTAGTTATGCTACTAATACAAGTTTCCAGATGAAAGTCTATACCTCCCCTAGTTTCATAGTTATGATAATGGGTATTTAATTTTGTGAAGAACGTAATAAATGATTTTTTGATTTAAATATGAAAATAAGAAACTAAATAACATAAAACATTCAACCACTGTAGTTCTTATAACATAGACGTACTCTTATCATATTTTTTTATTTAACATGATTCTCATAGCTTTATTTTGCAGAATTTGTAATTTTGAAAATGTGTTTCCATTCCCTGTAAACCAGATGGTTGAACAATATAAAAAATGGGTTATACACAATTTTTTGGAATACATACTGAGATCATGGGAAACTCTATACAACTAATTTATCTTTTTTTATATTTTAAAATAATGTATTCTTGATACAGTAATTTACTATCCACATATATACCCAGATATTTTTTATTTTATATAATTTTTTCATCATTAATCTTGAGCCTAATCGAACAGTGCTAAAGCAGGTGATTTACGATCCCACGCCATCAAGTTGGACGTGCTGCCAACGCGAATGAAGTTGTTCCTATAACTATTTTCAATTTACCTGATAGGCCAACGTAATGGCTTTGAATAAATAGTTCTGATTGATTTATTAATTTTTCAGAATATAAACGACATGGTACAACAAGAAAGACCCGACTGGCAACAAGTAATGGGATATGTTACTGCTATATACAAACACTTTGAAACATGAAAGATTTGTTAGCGTTTTCTATTCCCAGATCATTTATATATGAAAGTTTATATAAGTTGTGGTTATTGTTAATTTGTCTAATATCGTATAAAGTTTATTCCGAGTTAATTTTCCTCTATAAAGCATTTCCAAGTGTTACTTAACGAACGTAATTCCTTGTGCATTTATTCCATTTTGGGCATGCTGAACACAGCACTGAAATGTTCGCCCTTGGTTAATTTAATACCTGAAACTTATCCTGTGGTTTTCATTTTGAGAAAACACCATGACCTAGCCAAATGAAATAATATGTATTAAACACTTTTACTGACGCTACGCTGGCCTTTTTTAATATATAAATAGTGTATTGTCAATATTTATATTTCGATAAAAGATACTGTCGTGGTCAAAAGGTTAGTAAAAGGTGTTTAATACGAGGGTTAATCAAATATGAGCATAACCAAGTGGTGACCTCCCAGGTCTTCTTTAACTGGCCCAAACACGTGTTAGTCACATGGCGACATATCGGTCTCGATGTAAGGCGGGTCTTTTTCGCCGATAGGCAAGTTTCATTTCTTTAAGCAGTTGTCAGTAGTAAGCAGCATTAAGTGTACGACGATCCAGAAGAAATTCAACTAGCAGTACACCTCTGGAATCCCGAAATACCGTTGCAAGAACTTTTCCTGCGGAAAGGCTGGTCTTGGATCTTCGCGGCGCTGCCTCTCTAGGCTTTCACCACTCCATGGAAAAATGTTTTGACAGTCGTATACGCGTGTCTCTTTGCCGTACTATGTTGTTAATCGACGAAAAATTTCGGAAGGTTTTATGCCCCCCCCCGCGACAAAACTTTATGATAATGCGTTGCGCAACAGGCGTGAGCAACTCTTGCTCAGACATGATGCTACTATCAGGGCGCGCCAAACCGACTGCTCCCCTCTTCCTGACATCCCCACCCAGCATATACCAAGACGTCGCCCCACTCCATTCCCTTATGACGCGTTAAACAGAAAAGTCCGATTCATTTTTGATCCATCCTCGTACATACATTTGGCTAGAAGACCATGGAGTCTTATGTACCTATACGTTTTTAATCTAAAATTTTCAAAAAATCGAAAAACGGGGGTCCCCAAAATAAGTATATATGACATGGCGGAAAAGTGGAAGTGTGTTTTTTTCAAAATTCGATGTATTTTAATCGACAATTGCGAGATGAAACAAAATGTGTCAGATAGCATTTTTGAATTCCAAAAATGATGTTTATACTCTTTATGGTTCCATTTTACGTTATGGATGCATTTACTTCATTTGAAGTGTAAAAATATTCCGTTTGTTCAGTCTGTCCTGAATCCAAATACACGGTAATGTTTTGTTTTCAGAGTATTCAAAATGAAATTCCGATTAAGTATCAACAAAGACTGAAATTACTTCCAGTTATATCAATGTCCGACTAACAAACAGTAGTTTTGTATTATTTTTATATCCTGATTTTTTTGATACTTATTCATAGCACATTTCAAAAAATAGTTTACAATAGTTGATACATACGTTCTTTCTATTTTACTGGTAAAACTTATTCAATATCGTCTTCAAGATACGATAATAAATATTACTGTTCTGTTAGTTTGACCTTAGTATATAAATTTGAGGCTTGACATGAGAAATCTGTGATAATTTTTACAGTCTGTTTTGATCAAAGTGGGATAGAAAATTTTGCGTATCCTACATAGTAAAAAGTGTTATCTAGTAACCTGTTCATTGAAGCGGAAACACATAAAGTAACCAATCTTGGAATCCTAAATGCCTCCAGATTATCATTTTGGAGAAAAATGTGGTATTTTTAGCACATTGTTTCTTCACTATGGAAATAAAAGCATTTCCAATGTTACGTGTATCTTCAATGCAAACAGCTGACTTACCACTTATACAAAAAGTGAATTCCTCTGTTATTAGGTGTTAAAATGGGAGCTTAGGAAAAATTGTAAAAATCAAACCTTACGTGTTTCTTATATTTAATTTTCAATATAAACAAAAATAAACATAAACTAATCCTTTATAATTTTTTTGCAGAAATTACATGAATCGATCGGTTGTTCATTAATATTATCGATTGTCATTCAAACGGAAAACGTTTCTTTATAAACTCGAATGTGCCGGAGGCGATACAATTTTTCCTAAGCTCCTGTTTATCAAATAACAACTTTTGGAGCACAGACTGTAATACATACTTTTATGTCTTAAGGCAGATTAATGATTAGGCTATACTTTTGGAGGCTTAGATGTAGACTATGGTATTTTTTGAATAACGTTATATTGCAAAAAGATACATTTTTGCATAAAATGATAGCTGCATTGGTACATCAAGTATATATATATATATTACATTTAATATATTTATATGATAGCAAATTTAACTACATTGAATAATAGTTTCATATTTACAGTAAGAAAGTTCAGAGTTGAGAATCGAAACTTCAAAACTTTTATATTTTGGGTTTCTCGGTTATACCCTTCGAATTGTTCTAATTGTTTTTCTAATAAATTGAACACTCAAAACTGCAAGAATGCAATATTTTATTTTCTTCTTATTTTACGTTCTTTAAAATTATAAATATCATTCTCAAAGTCCCCTCTGAACTGTTTCTATAACCAAGACAATATAAAGTCCAGACTATTACAAACTACTATATACACATGTATACACAATAATCAAATGTTTGCCTATAATGTCAGCATAGAATTATAATCAGCTCAAATTAGTAATATTTTGCCTTATTTGAACCAATAAATGCGTATTTTGACATGTGAGTGTGGTGTCATTTTTTGTACGAACTTGAGAATGTATATAATATTTTGGGTATGATAGGTGTGAATGAATTTTTATCTATAAAGTGTAGAATCAAATGTGTGAATTGCAATGCTTTCTTAGAGGCTATAAAATTACTTACTCCTGTACTGTTGTTGATTCGTGAGGGAGGCGTAAGAACAAATAAAAACATCAGAATGTCACATTCAAAGGGTACTATAAAAGTTTTGCTATACAGCTTTATTTATTGACTTCGTTCAAAGTAATTTCCACCACATGCAATACATTTCTCAGTCCGCCAAAACCAGTCCTTAAAGCAGCTCTGCCAGGTTTCACGGGAGTGCGGCACACTCGTCGTTAGAAAACCGTTTTCCCTTTAGCTTCATTTTCACATGCAGAAACAGTGCGCAAAGTCGCAGGAAGCAAGATCTGGACTCGTAAGGAGGGTGCTCAATAAGTTCCAGTCCAGTAGTCTTCAAATTCTCGGTGCAGGCTTTGGAGCGGTGAGCTGGATCGTTGTCATGGTGGAGGTACCAAATGTCCATTTTTCACTTTGGCCGCAGGTTTTTCATTTCCAAGACGACACTCTCCACAATCTCGCTTAATCGCTTAAAGTTATACCATTAAACTGCCCTATCTCACTACGTGCCCACGATACCACAGTCTGCACTTTACACTGTCAATACGAATGAACAACTAAATCAACAGACGTGCTTCTGGCTGATACTATGCATTGTCTCAACATGCAGCCTCCTGCGTCCGTTTGCTAAATCAAATTCCAAAACTTTTATAGTACCTTTTGTATTACAGTAGAGGAGTTTCACGTATTCATCCGTTTTCCGTGGCAATAACCATAAATACGAATGTAGATTGGGAGACGATAGGTGTTGTAAAATATATTTTATTAGAACGTATTCACCCAGTTTCAAATGATACAGTCAGTATTTTATACAGCGAATATTTCTATAACCATATTTTCTATAAACTTTACTCATTTTATATACTAATATTAATAGGTCTAGTCTTTGGTGTCCAGCTTCTTATAATACATGAAGAACACCGATTATCCTAAATTCAATTGTGTTAGCAGCAGCAGTAAATTATTTATAGACATGCTAGACACCCGCGGTAACGATCGTGATAGTGAAGGCACCATTTTATTTCAGCCACTTCCTTTTTTCTTGCAACATGGAAATATGTTTCATGTTGGAAAACTATTTCATTCGATTCATAATAACATTATCTGAGAACCTTATAGTATTCAAAGCTTCTCTCCGTTTTTAAGGGGAGGCTGCATAGATACGACTGACAACGCTGATTGGTCAAATAAGCAGTTTGAAGTTCAAGCATACCTTTATCTTTTGTTACTAAACTAAATCTCGTAAGATGTGAAAGGGTGAAAAGAGCGTGTTGTTTTCCATCTCCTGTAACCAACCGCAGACAGCGCTGTTTCGTGCTCATTAGCAACTCATCTGTGCGGTATAGGACTCATCGCATAGACACGAAACAAAAGCAGACAAATGGTTGTGGTCCTTTGAGAAACCCTAAGCATTTTGTGCGAGAAGATGGAATTCTGACTATCGCCACCCATCAATGGGATCTCATCCCGTAGCTATTTAACTTTTACTGCCAAACACGGAATATCACACGATTTAGTTATATATAGAAAAAGTAATTAAATTCAGTTTTTTAACCTCGAATTACTCATTTGACCAAACAGCGTCATTAGCTTCCCCTTAACATCTAAAGGTTCCTGCAGTTTCATAATCTGAACTTTTATGTATGCATGTAATATGGTTGTGATCAGTGTTTTCTTCGTAAATGGAAATTATTTTTCCATGTTATTGAAAAGCTGTATTTAAATACGTTCGAAATAAACAGATGTAATCATATTTATGGAAGTTTTATTAACACCTTTGGATTCTGATTCACAGCATTTGCAAATACAGGGTGTGCGCAAAGTTGGGGTTTTCCTTTTCAGAAGCAACTACCCTTGAAATAACAAAGGTAATGTGTAGTGAAACGAGGGCGACCAAGTAAAAAAAAAATAAAGGAAAAAGTACTCACTCTCCAGATGACGAGAAGGGCTAAGTACGTCTCTGCCCGAAATCATACCGCTCCAACAGAAAATGAAATCAGCTGATGCGCTACCGAGCAGACGCAGGCAAACAAGCAAGGCAAAATGTTGCGTAAAAAGTCTAGGTATTGCATCCCGTCCAATCGATTTGGGAGAATAAATGGTCCAATGAGCGTACCGTTCACCATGCCAGCCCAAACATTCACCGAAAATGTTTGTTGAAAATGTGCCCGACGGACAGCGTGCGGATTTTCTACTGACCAAACATGAGTGTTGCGAAAGTTATTCACCCCATTACGCGTGAACGTAGATTCGTCTGTCACCAATATGATACTTGCACTTCTCTAGCCACGTCTCTAGTGCTTGTTGTTTTTTGAAACGCAATCGATTATACGGGTTCGTTTACCTCTACACGCGTGACCGTAACCGTCGGTTGAAGGTTGCATACTGACCTGACACACTGACCCCGACCCAGTTCTGTCGTCGGGTTGAGCTAGTGTCCTAGTACCACTCGGGGATGTCGCGGGTCGCGGCTACAGGACGGTATTCAGATATTTTTGATGTTGCAGAGCCCTTTATCTCGGTTCCCTTAAGACATTGGTGTATATGGTACTAAGAAAAATTGCTTATGTTTTCAAGATCTACACGTCGTGTAAAGGAAAACCCCAACTTTGCGGACACCCTGTATACGTGCCGCGCCGGGTATCGCCCAATCAACATTAAAAAAAATATATTTTTTTGGGGGGGGGGGTGTTGTTGTGATATGATTAATTAGCGATATATTCAGAAATCGTCATATTGTGAGCGAACCCACATCCACAGCTTCTATGAAAAATAGATTTCTAAGCAGTCTCAAACAAGGACGGAATGCGCGCTTGCCTAATTAAAAGAATACAAGTTCACATTCGGTTAGAGGCCCCAAAAATGCTATACTGCGTGATTAAAGATTTGCTATCAGGATAACAGAAACTGCAAAGAGGTATGGAATACGTTTATGCTCCTGATGTGCTTCGTTCATACTCTCGTGATAGAAAATTCTCAATGAATGAAAATCTTACATTCGAGGAGAGGCTCCTTTCAAAATTTTTTTACTGGGTGGTGGAAGATTCGCTAGCAGGGTAACAGAACTGCCCTTTTATAATGTAATCATAAATAAAAACATTTATTATTATCATCATTATTATTGGTATTAAATACGGGGCGCTACTTTTTTATCTCAACTGTCAAGTAGTATTCGTAATATAGAAATCTAAAAATTACCAAAATACTACAAATCGCTGCTGGAAGCATTTTGAATACAGCAAAATATAGAAAATCTTGAAATTAATCCCACGGGATGTCGCAACACCCGTAGCCAAGATCCTCAAGAAGCGCCACTTGGGCATTACTTTCCAAAGTGAAGTACTAGTCAGCACTTCCTCCATGATGAGTTGTATTCCGGTGCAGGAAGTGGAAAATCTCCCGAACAATATGGGCAAAATGTGACAGAAAACCCACTAGAAGTGACTAAATACATAAAATCACGAATTTACAACTGCGATATATACGCCACTATGTATGTCTAACCCTCCTTCAGTGCCTCTTGTCCTCCACTTTTTAAATGTATAGATAGGCTAATAGAAACTCGAGGAGGTATGCCATATCTACTATGCTCCTAATATGCTAGTGCGGCCCTCATTCGTTCCTGCTATCCTGATACAAATTGCTCAACGTCTGAAAATCGCACACTCGACGCTTTTCAAAAATGATTTACGGAGCGGTTGAAGATTTGCTATCAGGACAACAGAAACTGCGAGGAGGTAAGGAATATGTTTATACATTTATACTATGTGCTTCGTTCATGCTAGCCTGATACAGAATTCTCAATGACTGCGCGGAGGTATAAGTCTCAATATCACACATCGGAGAGTAGATGCTCATCTCAAAGATGCTTTAGTGAGCGGTGGAAGATTCGCTACCAGGATAACAGAAACGCCGTTTTGTATATGTAATACTTTTATGTAAATGAAGGCGTTTATTATTCTTTTTATTAAATATGGGACGCTCATATTTTATCTCAACACGCATAAGCACTTTGAATACAACAAAGTATAGAAAATCGGCAATTTGGTGCCACGAGATACCCAAAACCCGTAGCCGGGATTTCGAAAAGGCGCAACTTTGGCACCACTTTCCTAAAGTGAATTATTAGTCAGTATTTAGTCCATGATGAGTTTGATTCCGGTGCAACAAAGTGGCGCGGTCCTAATAGGACTTCGTATCTCTAGATATTCTGGGAAATGTCCCGGATAATATTGGCAATTCGTCCAAATACAGTTCGGCGAGTTATACACCACTCTGAACCTCGAACCCTATTCCTCTTATTCTACACTTTTAAATGTAATTGCATGGTTCATTTTGCTAAAAAAGTGCAGCGTCAGACGTCGGACCCCTTAACCACCGCACTAAAATTGTATTAATAACAGTAATAACAGTAAATTCCTGACTAATTAACTTGTTTTCAATTATACTGGATTTTTATAATGTACATATTTATCTATGTTTACAAATTCAGTTCGTCATTTTGTACTTAAATGAAAAAATTGTAATTCAGTCATATTTAGGTGTGGCATGTTTATTTCCTGACTAAATAAAGCGACTCAGATAAAAATACACTATTAAAAAAAATTATATGATATAATTGATATATGCCATCTGCACAAGTACAAAAAAATCTGATTGTGGACTGTGGGATATCATCTACACAGACAAAGTTGCATTTTACTAGCTGTCGTAGATTGTCTGACGATGCAGCTTGTTCTTGATTTTTACCTCCCACGCCTACTGGCGAGCAGTGTATATGTTTTTTATTTATGTTATATGACATCTCGGTCTGTCCACAAATACTTGGCCCGTCTATAACCTGCAACGTACTGCTCGAATTTGGATAAAATTTTCACACAAGGTTACCACTATGCCAAGTACGGAAAAGCTTTGAAGTTTTCGAAAATTGGTCCAGTGGCGACGGAATTCCAGAACTCTTTACGTCATAGCTCTGCCGGCAAATCTTACGTTCGACATGTGTACGACTAATCGTTCGTGGAGAAACCCGAGAGCGACTCAGAAATATACTTTTCTGGGGCAAAACCTAACAAAGAAAAATAATTCGAAGTCGTAGATCGAACACTGCCCTAGTTTTTTTTTATTGTCTATTTGTAAAGAAAATAATTCAAGTCCTGTCTTGTACCCACAGAAGAGATTAGAAAAGAGAAGAATATATCCAAATACTTTATTATGACCGAGATTTAGTTACCTAAATAAATACAAAACCTCGATGTATAAATTTTATTAGACACAGTCAATAATATACAAAGTCTCACAGAACTTATTTTCGTAAATATCGCAAGGAACAATATTAACGAAATATATGAAACCCATTCTCACGAAAGAGCTATCTTAATCTGATGTTTAAATATGTGAATTTTACGTAAAAATACTTACAAAGTAACTCAAGTACCAGTGTTACCACCCTCAATGATATGTGTAAAAGTTGGGCTGGGGGTAGAGTTTAAAAAGATTAACAATAAAAAAAGTATGACTTGCGCAGCATTTACATGCACATGTGTTATCGGAGTGACCAAAATGACTGCCAGTTGAAAAATTTCAGTTATCCTCACTTTCTACTATTACTTTGCTTCAAACTGCCCGATAAGATCTGTCATCAGTCTAATTCTAATTTTCTGAAACTGCCCTCAACACCGAAGCTTTCCTTGAAGTACAAGTTGTCTTGACAGTCCTTAGGTATTGACCCGTTCATTTTCATGTAATCGGTATCTTCCAACCATTTGGAATTTTCTTTCAGGAGTTTCTTGTATTTGGCAAGCGTTTCTTCTAGCGATATTGATTTTCCGCCGTAGTTTGAAGGAAGAATATCTCCGAAATGATCGTGGAGGTTTTCGTTAGACTGGTGGAGAACTATCTGCAATCAACATAACATAGTGTTACACCGTTTCAGAGGTTCCTGACATTGTTTGGTTGTAGATTGGAAGCTGCAGCTTAAGATATATAAAGATTTTTCGAATTTTCTTGAAAACGAATCGACTGATTTAAAAAAGAAAGACCTTTCAAACAAGCTATTACTCGATACCCCTTGTCGCTTAAAATGTTTAAGGGAATGACCCTGGGGGACCGAGGGCGAAAGGTGAAGTAGTTTTTGGTTCCGTGATGGGGAGTTTCCAAGAAAATAAAAAACTAAAGCGCTCCTTGTATATCAGCCAACCCGACTAAACTAAATAAATAAAAGGTAGAAGAAAATATTTCAACTTGCCCTTTCTCTAATCTTGGGATGCAGCATGGGCTTGACCACGGTCATAGCTCGATCGATGGTTGACGGTGCGTTTACCAAGTGCAAACTGGTCAGTCTGATAGCGTAAGCCTTCCTTAGGATTTTTATCAGCTTTGTAGAACAAGCTAGGAACTTCATGAGATGACCTGGACTGCATCCGCTGTAGTCGAAGATGATTTCTTCGGCAACGACTGGATGTGGACAGTTGAATACGATGTCATCTAAAAAACAAACCGGTATATTATTTTATTACATGTGATGCCCCGCCATTCCTGTAAGTACGAGAGATGTCTTTTAACCTCACTCTTTAGTAAGCTTAAATTCAAAGTTTCACAACAATACAGTAAATTTTTAAGTGTCACCAAGTCATTAGAGAAATGGAACTCAACCGAGAACATTTTCGCGCCATAATTTATTACAACTTTCAGAGACAATTATCGCAACAAGAAGGCCTTGCTGAGTTACTGTCTGTTTTCGGCAATGAAGCGCCACATCAGTCGACAATTTCCCGTTGGTATGGAGAATTCAAACGTGGACGGGTGAGTCTAAGCGACGATCCCAGGGTGGGTGCACCAAAAACGGCAGTCACCCAGCAAAACGTCTATGCTGTACGCAAACTCATGATTGAAGATAAACATGTGACATATCGCGAGATTGAGGCGTCCTTGAAGATCTCAAAGACCTCAATTCAAAAAAATAACATGGAGAATTAGGAGTAAAAAAATTAGTTTCTTGTTGGATACCCCACCTGTTGACTGAAGAGCAGAAAGCAGCCAGGGTTAATTGGTGTCAAAAAACGCTCGACCGTTTCAATTTCGGAAACTCAAAAAATGTGTACAGCATTGTTAGTGGTGATGAATCGTGGATTTACTGTTAGGAACCAGAAAATAAACGACAGTCGGCTGTTTGGGTGTTCCAAGGTGAAGAAAAGCCACTAAAAGTCATCCGTTCTCGAAGTGTTTCGAAAAAGATGGTCGCGGCATTTGTGTCAAAACCGGGTAATATTGCAACAATTCCTCTTAATGAGCAAAGAACTGTTACTGCGGATTGGTATACCACCATTAGTTTGCCAAAAGTCATCACCGAGCTTCGAAAAATCAACCCCGAAAGAAGAATCATCCTCCACCAAGATAATGCAAGCTCGCACACAGCCCAAAAAACAAGGCAGTATTTAACGGAAGAAAACGTGGAATTATTGGAGCATCCTCCATATAGTCCCGATCTAAGTCCTAACGATTTCTTTACTTTCCCGAAAATTAAAAACTGACTGCGTGGTAGAAGGTTCCAGTCACCAGAAGAAGCAGTTGACGCATTCAAAAATGCCGTTTTGGATCTGCCAGCAAACGAGTGGAATAACTGCTTCGAAAATTGGTTCGAGCGCATGCAGATGTGTATTAATCTTCGTGGAGAATACTTCGAAAAACAATAAAGTCATTTAAAACTACCTACGTGTTGTTTTATTTCCATATGCAAAATTTAAAAGACATCCCTCGTATAGCACCTATACAGGATGCCTTGGGGGTGCCGGAAATCGCAATAAGTAAACGGCAACGGTGCAAACGGTGTCCAAAAACTGGAGCCACATAGTGCGGCGGTGCACCATCTTATTGGAAATTAATGTAATTTTCATTATAATTAACGTCATTTCTAACATTTCCAAGGACGTCTCGCTCGTCAAGTTTACAGGAATAAAGAAAGGTCCTACAATATGATTTCCAAAAATGCCGGTCCACATATTTATTTTTACAGGATATTGCGAGTGTACCTCTCGAAAAAAGTATGGATTAGAGCCACTCCAATTTCGACAATTATGTCTATTTACAGCACCCCTACTGAGCGAGGGCCGTGGCAAATGCTTGTTCCGGAAGTTGTTGTATCCAGTATACAACTTCTTCCCGTCCAAGTGATTGGGCACGCGTTAAGGAATACCTCAGTACCGATTGCCGGGTGGCGGTACAAGTCCGCCAACGGGCCACTTTAGGTCTATTTAACATCACTAACACGTAAAAAGAAGGTGGTAGACAAGGACCAGTCGACCGAGGCAGTACCACCCGCTAGCTTTTCCCAGGGTGTCTTATAAATGTCCGCATGTTTCCACACCTAAGCTATGCAATCGGTTATCTACCAAAACAAAGAAATTAATGATGATGATGGATCCCTCGAGCACTAAAAACTCCGGACGTAAACTCACTCCACTCTCGGAATGTCCGGGTGGAGGGTGGGCTCGAGGGAACAACATCGAAGATAAAATTTGTTTTTCGAACATCTGCGGGATCAACAGCAACATTGATGCTGTTCATCACTACCTGCAATCCAATCGTCCCGCCGTGCTTTTCTTGGCGGAGACAAAAATCTCAGAGACTGCACCGATTAACCATCTCAACTTCCCAAACTACGAGGTGCACTCCAATCTGAGAAAGAACGGGGGAGTTGTGGCTTTTGTCCGCAGCAGTCTTTCCTGCTCCAGGGATCTTTCTTTGGAATCAGACCGGAAGGACATTCTGTGGCTTCGCCTCAACTCCAAAACATCACCCAAATTTATTTGCTGCCTTTATCGCTCTCCATCGAACCATAACTGGGATGACCTACTCGAATACCTCGCCGTCCAGATCGACTTCCTGAACATCAATCACCCCGCTTCAGAGGTAGTTCTTCTCGGTGATTTCAATGCCCATAATGAGCTTTGGTTGGGCTCAAATAAGACCGATGCAGCAGGTCGTGCAGTCGAAGCGTTCGCTCTTACTCAAGGGCTGACCCAGCTGGTGACGAGCCCTACCTTTTTCCCCCGCGTCTTGTCACACGCCAGTAGCCTGCTGGATCTCTTTCTGACCACGCATCCTGCCCCTTACAGCACTGCTGTCCTGTCCCCCCTGGGTAACTCAGATCACGGTGTTGTGGAGGTCAGGTTTCGGTCAGAAGCCGCTGTGGCAGCAGAAACTCGCACAGGCCGCAAAACTTGGCATTACGGACATGCCGACTGGGAGGGGCTCAGAGACTTCTTCTCTAGCTTTCCTTGGAGAGATGTCTGTTTCACTGACGCGGATGCGTCGACTGTCTGTTCTTCAATAACCGAAATTATCCACGTCGGAATGGAGGAGTACATCCCTCACACAGTGAAAGTTCCTAAACCAGGGTCCAACGGCTGGTTCAACAAATCGTGTGACACTGCTCGCCAGCAGAAGATCAAGGCCCACAGAACCTACTTGCAAAACCCCACTGTAGAGAACAGACAAGCCGACGTCGAGCCCAGAAACAAATATAACGAAGCGGTTCGCAATGCCAAAAACCAGCATGATATAAAAGTTAGGCACAGGGTAATGTCGCAGCGCAATGGCAGTCGGTCTTTCTGGACGCTGGCCAAGCAGACTGAAAAGAACTTCTCACACAGTAGCCTTCCACCACTTACGTGTCAGGATGGAACTATTGTATTCGACTCAAAGGCCAAGGCGGAAGTGCTAGCCAAGATCTTTGCTGCCAACTCCACCATGGACGTCCCCACCAACGCCCAAGTGCCGTCAATTCAAAGGGTTCCCCACACTATGCGGGAGGTAACATTCAGGCATAAGACCGTAAGACGAGTGCTCTTGTCGCTCGACATCAACAAAGCTTCTGGTCCGGACTTGATTCCTGCCATTGTACTGAAGAGATGTGCAGCGGAGCTTGCTCCAGTTCTTTCGCGCCTCTTCCAGATATCTTACGAATCCGGCACCTTCCCAGAAAACTGAAAATTTGCTCATGTACAGCCCATCCCAAAAAAAGGATCTAAAACCGACCCTTACAACTACAGGCCTATAACTCTGCTTTCTGTTATAAGTAAAAGTGATGGAGAGGTGCATAAATCGCGAGCTTCTGGACTACCTCGAACGTCACAGCTTGATTAGCGACAGGCAGTACGGTTTCCGGCACCAACGATCCACAGGGAACCTCCTAGCTTACGTCACGCAACTGTGGAGTAAACTCATCCAGTCTCATGGTGAGGCCCATGTCGTTGCTCTTGACATCACGAAAGCGTTCGATCAGCTGTGGCACGCTGCCCTCTTAAGCAAACTTCCATCCTACGGCCTCCCAGAAAAGCTTTGCAGATGGCTGGCTGACTTTATCTCTGGCCGCAAGATATCCGTCGTAATTGACGGATTCTCCTCTTCATCCCACAACGTCCACGCGGGTGTTCCCCAGGGATCGGTCTTGGCTCCAACACTGTTTCTCTTACATATCAACGACCTCCTCTCCTGCACGATCAACCCAATCCACAGCTTCGCTGATGACAGCACTCTACATGCAGGAATTCAGAGTGACAAGCCGATCTCTGCCGCTGAGCTGGAAAAAAGAAGACTAGCGACGACTTCTTCTCTGACAAGAGACCTGGAGGCTATCACTGCTTGGGGACGCAACAATCTTGAACAGTTCAATGCTTCCAAAACACAGTACTGTACTTTGACGAACAAAAAGCGTCCTACCGCTCATACAGTTTCGATGGACGCTCGAGTTCTACCAAAGAGCCATTCATTTCGGCTGGTCGGAGTCCAGATCACCGAGGACCTGATCTGGCACGAACACATCTCTTCAATAGCTGCAGCTGCTGGGAAAAAGCTAGGCTATTTGTTTAGGGCTAAGAAGTACTTTTCTCCGCATGACCTTCTCACTCTATACAAGGCCCAGATAAGGCCTAGCCTCGAGTATTGCTCACACATCTGGGTGCTGCCGCCCCGACTACATTGTCCATGCTCGATGCTGTCCAGAGGAGGGCGGTCCGACTGATCGATGACTCTTCCCTAACAGACAGTCTCGGGACTCTTTCGCACCGGCGGGCCGTCGGCGATCTAGCTCTTTTCTATCGCTACACCAACGGCCTTTGCTCCTCAGAGCTCTCTTCCATGATGCCGCCGCGCGATGTGCCTGCCAGACAGACCCGCCTGACTTCGGCGTCCCATCCTAACCGTGTCAAACTTCGTACATCCAGAACTGGCCGATACGACCGCTCCTTTGTCCCGAGGGTGTCTAGATTGTGGAACAATCTACGGGAGGAAGCTTTTCCCAGTTCTACTAACCTTAGGCAGTTCAAAAATCGTATAAACAAAATTTCTTTGGGATCATCATAGCAGCCGCGGTGTTCCGGCATTTAGGCTTCTGCCTGCGCGGCTGTTTCGATATAAAAAAAAAGAAAAAAAAACACTGTAAATAGAAGGTGCACTCATCCGAAAAACAAATATTATGTATCAGATTTGCATTGCGTTGTTG